CTTGGCCCAGAATCCCAGCCGCCTCGACCTTGGCCGTGCTGTGCAAGGCGCATCGCGAGTTGAGAGCTGGCTAGACCCCTGGCACCCCCGTCCAGCTCCGGCAGTGCGTGGAAGTGCCTACCCCGGAGTAGAATGGCTGGGGCCATCTCACTGTGTCTGTCACCCGATACTGAAGCACACTTTGTGCTTTATAAGAAGGTATTTAAAAGTTTCATCAGTCCAAGAAAATATTTAATAATTTTAAAGACAGAAGATGTGTAACATTTTAGAACATCAAGTGAACACAGACTTATAAAAACAGACCTTGGGTAACCCTGGCCTGTATTAGCAGATAAACGAAAATGAACTATTTAAGACATGAAACCCACACACCTCAAAAACACGAGATTTAACCATGAAAAACGGAAGGTGAAATGTCATTTGATCCCTTTTAAAGCAGGATCTTAAAACCGAGGTTGGCAGGATCCTTATGTCACTGTGTCTTTTTTCCTATAAAATTCTCTGGAAGAAGCTTTTCCCGACTCACCTCTGGCTGCGGAGAAGATGTCCTTGTGAGATACCGCGGGCATTTTCCCCTGACAAGGCCTTTTGGCTTCTCTTTCTGGGGCTGCAGTCTTTTATTTATAAGGAGGTGGGTTTTGTCCCTAAGGCATTTCCGGTTTGTCCTGAAGCTCTTCAGCTTCAGCTCGTTCGGGTGGAGATTTTGGTGCAGGGCTTCCTGTGTGCGTTTCACGGCTGTCACGTTGGTGTCCCACACGTTAGGAAAGCCTGGAACAGAGCAGTAATAACTACGCTTGCAACAGCATTTTGCTTTGTGTGCTGCTGTGCGACGGCTGAAGCATGTTTCACATTTCAGCATTTTTTGTTTTTTGTTTTTTTCATCGTGATTGTCTCCTTTTAAGAACACACACACACTGAGAAGTTAGTGTAACGAACTTCCACGCCCGGCCTCAATGGTCATCAACTCACGGCCAGCTGACCTCGTCCACCCGCGCCGCCCACCCGCCCCGCTCCAGCCGGACTCCGCGTCGTTTCCCATCGGCTTGCTGCGGCATTCATCTCTAAGTGAAAAGGGCCCTTTAACAAGTGTAACCACCACACAGTTATCACATCTTAAGAGTGGGTCATTTCTTGTTATCATAAAATATCCAGTGTTCAGGTTTTCCCAGATCTCTCAAACATTTTTTTACAGTTGATCTGAGATTTCAGATCTTAGAAATGTTAGAGCAAGCAAAGTAGACCATTTTGGCATGGAGGCGCAGGATTCTTGAACAGAGCGTGCAGCCACTAGGTGGAGGTTCCTAGATGGGCCCGACCCTGCCACTGGGCTCCAGGGTGCGGCCGCGCAGAGCCGTCCGGCTGCTCAGTGAGCATGCGCTCATTCTGCAGTGGCGCTGTGCCGGCGCTGGGGCGGGCACCTCGGGCCTAGCAGTGAGGAAGACAGACCTGAGGGGAGCCAGAGCCTTGTGTTTCACTGTGAGGTTTGCAAAGGGGATGACAGAGACCCTTGCAAGTGATGCTGAGTTCAGCCCGGAGGAATGGGAAGAGTTTCATCCAGAAGAGACAGTGGAGGCAGAGGCGTCTGTCCCCGAGGACGCAGGCGCGAGAGCGTGAAGTGTTAAAGCCCGGCGTGCTCAGGACCGCGAGGGCTGACGGGGCGCGAGTGGGCAGCAAGGCTGGCGGGAGCTTAGCGGGGTGCCTTGCAGGGAGTGGCGTCCCCGGGACCTTCCAGAAGGGGCTCCATAGTTCTGTCGTAGAAGCACAAAGTGTGGCCCATGAGTCAGGAGGGCAGAGCCTTGCAGGAGCTCTGAGGGGTCATTGGGGTTTCCTGGCCCTTCCTGGGCTCTCCCTCCACTAGACCGGAGTCCCGGGGGGATGGGGACGGCCTGCGTCTGCCGGGACCTCCAGGTACCTCCAGGGCTAGCGCAAGGCCTGGTGCACAGCACGCGCTCACTGTGTGCCTAGTACTGACGACCTCGCGGTGCTCCCAGTGCAGGGCACCCCTCCCGCCTCCGCCTTCACCTGGCCGTGACGGGGAGCTGCTTGGCTTTAGAACCTGGCCCCAGGGACCCTGAATGGGGGACTGCAAGGCCAGCGTTGCCCGGGGCCAGCAGGCAGGCTGACCCGCTCAGTGGGTGTGAGGGCACGCCAACATTCGCATCCCCTGGGCTGGCTCACATGGTTGTTTCTCCAGAACTGGCCAAGTGGGAGGGCTCGTTCATTTGTTTCCTTTCAATGGCATTGCTGCTTTAGTTTATTTTTAAAAAATCAATTAATTAAGCGCTGGTAAGAACACACACGCTCATTACGGAAAAGCAGAAGGGGGAAAATAAAGCAGACCCCGTGATGTGGACCCACCGCGCACAGAGAGAGACCGCGAGCCTGAGGGGAGCGCCCTTCCCAACACGCTTCTGGCCGTGAACGCGAGCAGTTGGAAGGAACACAGGTTTATACAGACGGCGTTACAAGATTTGTGCTGTTGGCACCGTTTCCTGCTGTAACCACAGCCCTGTCGCACCTTAATAGCCACACAGTGCAGTTTTACGTGGACGGGCCGCGACCTACCCAGCAGCTCTCTTTTGCCAGCAATTTGGATCGTTTCCAACTTTTCTCTCCAACGTGCGAAAACGTATCATCCAGCTTCTTTTAGACGTGCAGCAGTCGCCTCGTGGTAAATAGGCTGCACAGCCGGGTAGCTGGGATGAAGGAAGGGTTCGGTCCGCTCACCGAGTCCCGAAGCCAAGCCAGGAGGTCACCATGGCAGCCCCTCCAGCTTGTGGAGCGCCGGCCCCTCAGCCTCAGCTCCAGCCAGGGAGGTGGGGCAGAGCCAAGGGGAAACAGTCCGTTTTCAGGCAAGATCATAAGCCAAGGAGGAAGGAGCATTACGGAGCGGAACGCAGAGCTGAGGTGCTTCAGGAGGCAGTGGTGTTATTTTGTCCTCAGGAGAGCCATTGATAGTTCAATTATCCTCATTTAGCTGATAAGAAAATTCAAATTGAAGAGATTAAGGAATCTGCCCGAGGGCGCACAGTAAAGGTGGAATCAGAACTTGACAGTGGCCTGCACCCCTCTTAATTCTCCTTCCCAGCCTAGGGTCGCCGCCCTCTCTCCCATCAGCACCCCTGGGACCTCCAGTCCTGACCCCGCCACCCCCCGCCACTGCATCAGGCGGGGTCCACGCTGTGCCTTCACCTGGGCTCTTTCCAGGCTCCACCTTGGCCCCCTGCCACTCCACACTGAGCTGTGGACTACTCCTCCTCCCTCTGCACCCTTAGCCTAGAATGCCCTCCCCTCCATGGCTGCAGGCTGCCTGTTTTTTCGTCAAGACTTCGCGGAAGCTCCATTTCTTCGAGAAGTCTTTCCTAGCTCCCTGATGTGACATCTGTCCTGTGGTCCCCCAGAAGCATCTGGTTCTAACTGCAGTTTTACCGTCAGGTGTGCCTGTGACAGTGGTCAGTGGTGATCTGCACCAGGTGTGAGCTCTTCAGGGACGTCTGGGGAGTCGGATGTTTTCCAACGTCACGCTTTTCCAGAAAAGAAGGAGTGGCATTGCGGTCGGCTCTGTCCAGAGTTCTCTTCATCCTTTCTTCCTTTATTTTGAACAACAAGCTCTCTGGGCTGCTTGGGGAAGGCACGGTCACCTGAAAACGTCCCCATGAGTGCTTGTTTGGGATCCTTTCAGGAGGCACCTGAAATGCACCATCAGCTTAAAGAGAGAGGGGCAAACCACGGACCTCCGACTGGGGTTTACTCTCGGGAACCTGCTCTCCCGTTTGGAAGGCCTGGTTCTGCTGTACGGGAGCTTTTGAGCCCGTGGAAATCAGAGAAGTGAGTCTGCAGAGTCGCCGTGCAAACTGACCCGAGCCAGTCCCTCTCTTACCATCGCTGCGTTCCGTCCGTTCCTACGGGCACATTCAAAACAAGCAAACATGCAGACAGCTCTGACGCCAGCGCTGCTCCGTGATTAGAGTTGGCAGCAGTGTTTTCTGTCTTACTGGTACGCGAAGCCGAGATGTGACTTCCACCTGGCAGGATCTGAAGTTTGGGAGACGCAGCCTCAAACGTGTCGGTTCTTCAAGGTCCGTGAGGGCTGGCGGACCCCGGCCTCAGCACCGGGTGCCACAGCACATGGTAGGGTGTCTCAGGCCGAGTCCCACCTCGTCCCTCCCCCCACACAAGTATTCTCCAGGAAGCAGGCACAAAAACAGTGAGGTGGCCCCTCTGTTGGCAGGTGAAGTCCTTGCAGCCTCCCCCTTGGGGGCTCTCGGTGCCTTTCCTGAGGGCTCATGTGAGGTGGATGCACCCGCTGGACTTCTCCTTGGTTCAGGCCCTGAATCCTCCTTTGAGGGCCCAACTGGGCCCATTCAGAGGAGCAGCCACCCCGGGGCGCCCCGTCACTGTCCTTGCTCCCGCCGCGGGGTGGGCAGCTGTGCGACACTTCTCACCAGCGTGCACGTCTCTGATTCCACTGATCTCCCCGGTGAGACGGCATCCATTCCGATAACCAGCAAACCCTCTGGTGTTGATCAAAAATAGCCCTGACCCAGCCAAAGCTGAGGCCTCTGCAATGTGAGCCCACGGCGAGTCTTCAAATGCTGGTGAGCCGCCGCCCCAGAGGTGTGGGCTAAAGCTGACGCCTCCAGATCACACTGCGTGAAGTGTTTCAAAGCACACTGCCCACAGTGTCACGACGGCAGACGTAGAGCAGCATTAAGCACAGCTTCAAAAGGTGCTGCTTCTGAGTAACTTCGATGGAAGTGAGAAGACTTTCTCTGCAGCAGTGGTAGCTGACTCCAAAAAGCGGCGGCTGAAATCCTGCTGCCAAAGATGCGGATGGGGGTTTTATTCTGCACTGGTGCGAGTTATCCTTGTTTCTACGACCTGGGAGTGGAAAATGACACTTAAAAATTAGCACCGTGTTGGACACAGTAAGGGGTTCTAAGTGCGCGTGTCTGGCTGAGCAGGTCACGGTGATGAAACGCGTCTCCAGGAGCGACACGTTTTTGGGGCCTCTCGCTGGGAAGCAGCCCGTCCGTTTACATTCGGCCGCCTTGTATGTAAACATATTCGGGGGGTGGTAAGTTTTGCCGCCCGAGTCCTTTAAGGCCCGGGATGTGCAGCGTGTAGGTGGAAGTTTGCTGTGAGGAGGGTGGACAGGAACAGGGCCCGAGCACTCGCCTGCGAGGGCTCATGAGGCAGGTGCCCAGAGTGTCATCTCTTGTTAAGTCCCCTCGTTTAGATCTGAGGGGACGAGCCTGAAGCTCAGGTGGTGTTTTGCCGTGAGCCGCCCCGCCCTCCCCTCTCCCTCACTTTCTGGGGCTACTTAGGAGAGCTTGGCAGGTGCACGCGGCGCCGTGGGCCTCTCTGAGCCGCAGCGCGGGGCTGGCGCATCGGCCGAGCGTCACACTGTGTTTTGATTTCAGAACTCTCCAAAGCCTTTCTGTCTTATTCAGTCTTGTTTCTAAAACTCTGGAAAGAGCAACAAACCAGGCTGCCGTTTGAAATGCTGGAAATCACGCTCTGGCTTGCACGACGCTGGTGAACTTCAGAGCTTGGCTGGTGATGGAGAGAGACTGGAAAGACCAGTGGGCTCATGCGACGATCCCGAGTCTGGGCTGCCTGGCAGTAGGCGGAGCCCGCGCCTCGGCTGTGCTCCGCGACGTCCCTGATCATCCAGAGACGCCCCGCACATCCGCGAACAACAAGGTGGACGTTTAAGACACGGAGTAACAGGGTATTAACGGGAGAGGCCTGGTGCCCTTGAGCGGCGGGAGAGCACGACCCAAGACGCCGCCCGCTCTCGCAGCAGTGAAGTCGAGCCTGGTGTCCCCTGTGAGCTGACCAGCAGGGTCACTGTGTAGCAGCTGGGCCGTGAGCACCGTTGTCAGCGCTCTGTATTCTTCATCTGTTCTCAGCAGCAAAGAGAAGCTAGGTCCTCCGGCTCTTGCTGGGACTTAATTCCCTTTAATCAGAGCCACTTCTCTTCCTAGAAGGAAGCTTTTGCTTCTATTTTCCTTCTCAAAGAAAGGGCTTTTGTTATTTTGTTTTTACTGTAATTCAGAAAAATTCCACCCGAGACATCTGGTTGACCTGGGGGTGGACGTGACCCCCCTTCCCTCCAGTTACTGTACAGCCCGCACGGCTGAGTTTAGGCACGGGGGATGCCGTGTGTGTCACAAAGCTGTGCAGCTTTGACTTCAGCTAAATTCCTGCCTTTTCCTTCCAGCCGAGGCGGCCCACAGGGAGCGACTGGCTCTGCTCGGAGCCCTTGCCCTTAAGGGCTTATTGTCATGCGAATAAGATGCCGGACACATTGGCTGAAGGAAGAAACGGGTGAATCGTGTGCTTTCACAAGGCCCAGTCGGCCGTCCTGCCTGGTGCTGTGCGCTGCGAGAGCGAGCAGGGACCATCTCTTTCCTTCTTCTTGCCCGCGACATTGAGATCCAGGAGAACCAGGGGACCAGGGTGGCCAGGTCCGTGGAGACCCAGCCGTGGCCCTGTGATGGCTTGGGGTTTTCCTGGTGTGCCTGAGTGTCCCCAGGTACTGGACAGTCATCTCCAGTCCCGCCACCAGGTGAACTAGTAGTGTTCTGGGAATAAAAGCTTGGCGATTCAGGTCAAAAAGCCTGGAGGACCACGGTGTACCAGGTCCACGCACGTCAGTGTTGTTCCGTTGTTTGCAAAGTATCGGCTTCCAGGTTTTAACCTGGGTACAACGTACATGTGCTTTAAAGATTATTTTCTTTATCCTGTGATTCAGAAATATAACTTCTGTATCATTTTCAAGGGTATAATTCAGCGACATGACAGTTCCACAGCCATCCCACTGCCCATTTCGAGAGCATTTTCTCAACCCGTGCAGGAGCTCTGCGCCCCGAGCAACCCCGGGGCCTCTGCTCTGCGTCCGGTGTCTGTGAGTCGCCTGTTCCAGGCCCTCAGACAAGTGGAATCATGCGTGTGTCCTTCTGTGACTGGCTTATCTGGCCTGGCATGTTGTTTCCAGGTTTCCATCCATGTTGCAGCGCGCGTCAGAACGCCAGGCCTTTTCACTCAGCCACACCCCACTGTGTGCGTCAGCCGGGTCCTGTCTGTAATTGTGTTTATTCACCTGCTGAGGGGCACTTGGTCGGCTTCCGCGATTTGACTGTTGTGAATAATGCTCCCAGCAGTGTTTGTGAAACGCGTTTATGGTGGAACGTAACTACGTTGTGCTTTGTGCGCAGTTCCTGATGGTAACACGTGGAACATGAAGAACTGTAATGAGGCAAAGGCATGAACAAACCACAAAAACAAAAATGCACTCTAAGTTCAAAGGATGAGCAGCCTTGCATCATGATGGAAGCATTTGCTGAAGGCTGGGGTTGCGCCAGGCACACACCCTGAGTCCCAAGCATCTCAGGAGGGCCCTCCCCAGCTGGGAGGGGCGGCGAGTGTGTGCTGGAGGGACAAGGCCCAGGCGGGCAGCTCTGCTCGCAGGCAGAGGTGGCTGGTGCCGCCGGAGAGGTGCAGGCAAGGCCTTCGGGCCTTCGGAGGCCGGGACAGGGCCCCCCGGGTCAGGGTGGGGGCGTGAAGGAGGCTGCAGGACTCAGCCCGGCGCCACGGGAGCAGACAAGGCACTGACTGTGGTCAATGTCCAGCCCTGCTCTGTCTTTGCTGAATCCAGTTTGTGTTCTTCTGTTTCCTGGGCCTGCCCGGAGGGCTCTGGGTTCCTCTGGTTCACTGCTGTTAAGCAGGCTTCATCCTGCACTTAAACAGTCCTGTCGCTCCGTCTCCAGCGGCACCTTGGATTCGCTGGGCCTGGCTCTTCTGTGCCTCCGGGCGACCACGCTCTGGTTAACCTTCTGGAAGAGCTGCTTCTCTCTGGGTGGTCTGGAGCACCGCTCTCAGGGGACGCAGACCTGGGCTCATGCTGTCTGCCCAGGGGCAGCTCACGACACGGTGAGCGAGCAGCCCCAGCGCTCCTGAGCTGTGTGACCGCAGGGAAGTTACTCCACCCCTCTGACCCCCTTGTGCAACATGAGGGCTCTGGGCGACACCTGTGGCCCCGTCCAGCGCCACGGCTTTATGCTTGCCCGTATTGTGAGTTAATTGTCTCCCTCTGTCACTCGCGGAATGAATGACTCAGCAGTCTGACTGCTTTGCGGGCGTTTCTGAGGAAGCCTGGTTATCCTGCCATCAGGAGCAAGGGCATGTCCGTGGTCAAACAGTCTGACGGTCTGATCCGGCTGGCGTCTGGCTGACACTCACTGGGTTTCTTCTCGCTGCCCCCTTTCAGTGAAGCAGCTCGGACATCGGCTGGCCAGAGGCATCAGGGCCATGGTGGGACTCTGAGCGAGACCTGCCCACAGGAACCGGCTGTCACCCACCGGCCTTCCCAGCCCGGATTCAGGATGCTGACCCTGAAGCTCCCGAGGCTGCTCAGCGCTGAGCAGGTGCCCCAGGTACGTGCTCTCATTCAGGTGGCTGAGCTCCCGGCTGTGGCTGGGGCCCGGTGACTGCTCTGTGAGACCCACTCTCTCCCAGAGCCCCTCCCAGACTCCATCAGGGGATTCCAGCCTCCTGTTTCCCTCACTTACACCGAGCCTGGAAACAGAAGGGACCCCGAAACCATGTAAGGTGTAGCCCTTCCCTATGACGGCTGCATTTCATCCTGAAGCGAAGTCATTGTTAAGACTGCAGGCTCCGGGCAGAGGGTGTAACTCAGTGGTGGAGCGTGTGCTTAGCATGCACGAGGCCCTGGGTTCAGTCCCCAGCACCTCCATTAAGATAAATGGTAAACATAATCCCCCCAGAAAAGGGAAAAAATTGTTTTTAAAAAACTTTAAAAAAATTAAAATGCTTTCTAAAAAAAACCAGGACTAGATTTAAGCTGAAGAGATGAAGCCAGCAGCATGGGGTGGGGGGATGTTTTTTTAAGGCCCCTCCCACGGGTGCTGGAGGCCCAGGCCAGGTGTGGGCTGAGGTGGCGAGAAAGGTGGCTGATCCTCCTGGGCCGGGGAGCCCCAGGGCAGCTGCCCCGAATGCCCCTCCGGGGACTGGTCCTCTGCGGTGCTGGCGGGAGGTGAGGCCGTCTGCCTGTGGGCTGGCCCAGCGGGCACGTCCTCCTTGAAGAGCAAACGTCTCATTACACCTGTCTCAGAGTCAAATTTCTTTCCTTTTTGACTGAGTGAGTGTTATTTCACGGTGTAAACGTCATCTGGAGGATGCTGGGTGGAGGGGACAGCTCCTTTCCACTCCGCTGACCCCCACGCCCGTATGACTTTCCCCAGGAGAATAAATTCCAAATGACTTACTGGAAGATTTAGAGGAGACAGGCCCGCAAACCTTCTCCCTAAAGCCTGCGTGGCCAGAAGATGCCCATGAGATGGCGTGGGCCGGGGGGACGGCGTGGGGCGGGGCTGTTGGGGGTGGGGCCGAGGGCCGCGGCAGGTGTCAGACGCGTGGGAAGTGAGGCCGGCTCCCCCACCCGGGGAGCAGGGTGCCCCAGCCGCTCTCACGGGCCGCGCACGTCTCTTCCCGGGGCGTTGCTCTAACTCAGAGCTGATGTCATTTCCCACCAAGATGAGCTTTGCTCTGTATTTGAGGACCCTCTGTGTTCCACTGGTTTCTTTCAGTACCTTGCACATCCTGCCTAAGTTAAATCTGAGTGTTTAATGATATTCATTGGCATTCCCTTCGCATAAATAAGAAGAGTTTATGGTCCATCTTGATACACGTTTCGGCAAGATGTCCCGTATCGGGGAAGATTCAGAGAGTGCTGTGTATACTCTTTGAATTGTTCCAAAGGAGGCATCAATTCTTCTAGTCAGAAATTTGACCCACAGGCTGCCATCTCTGCAGTAAGGTTGTTCTTGGATTTGGGGACAAATTCCGGTGTTGTGTTAGTTTTCTTTTGTTGCCATAACAAATGATCACAAATTCGATGGCTTGAAAAAGCAGATAAATTCATTCTCTCACAGTTCTGTAGGTTAGAAGAAGACACGGGTCTCACTCGGCTGCGATCAAAATGCCGGTGGAGGCTTTGGGGGAGAGTGTGCTTCCTTGCTTTTCCCAGCTCCTGGCGACCTCCCGCTGTCCCCGGCTCCCGGCCCACGTCCTCTGTCTTCAAAGCCGGGAGCTGTGCATCTCCTGACCTTTCTTCCGTAGTCACATCTCCTTCTGCCTCTCCCTTCCTTCCACTTTTAAGGACCCCGTGATTCCATTAGGCTTGCCTGGATCATCCAGACAATCTCCCTACTTTAAGGTTAGCTGATTAGCAACTTTAATTCCATTCGTGACCTTAATTCCCCTTTGCCATATGACCTGACGCACTTCCAGGTGCTGGAGGCTTGGACGTGGACATTTTGGGAGGCCTCTGTGTGGCCTGTCACAGCCTCTCCAGTCATGCTGCGTGGTTATCACAAGCTCGCCTATGGTAGAGTTTTAAATCAATGCCTGAAACTGAAGATTGTTTTTCTGGTTCTTCAGTCAAAGACTGTGAACCCAACGGGACGCTTCACTGTTTCAGCTTCTTGACTTTCTTCTGTCGATCAGCACCCTGCATGATGCTGGCCACTCAGTGGGCCTTCTCACTCCGGGACACCCGACCTGTACTGGGTAACGTGCACCTTTTAAAAACCATCTGTGTACTTGCGTGGAGGGCAGACATCGTGGTCACGAAGGGGTCCTCCCAGGGCGAGGCTCATCCACCGCCTCCGGACGTGCTGAGCCCTGCTATTTCCCCAGACGCGGGAAACGGGACTGCGTAATTTGTGGCAGTGGGGGACTGTTCACGCTTCCCCTGAAGAGAAGAAAACAGTCTGTGTGTCCTTCTTCCCCACTTTGTTGTTCACTGAGGTGCTGATGTCCTCGGGAACCTCCCCCGTAGACGGCGGTAATTTGTTCCATGACTTTTTATCCGTCGCACGTGTTCGAGCAGAGGGACTTTGCCGTCGTCTTGTGTAAACACTGGGCTGCGTGCGTGACAGCATCCTTATGCTGGACTGAATGCCGGACACTTGTTTTTAAGGAGTGTCACCCCAGTGTTCTAAGTTAACACTGACCTGCGATCGCTTGGCACCAGCCATGCTTGCTGTTAATCCAGCCTGTTCACGGTCCTAGTGACTGCGTGTGGGGTGTGTGCAGGCGGTGCTTGGCACTTCTTCGCGTGACAGCCTGCGGGCTCTCTCTTGCCGGGGCTGAGCCTGGTCGCCCTGCGCGAGGGGCTTGGCGTCCGGCCGGGGCTGGGCGCGCGGCAGGTCTGCGCTGAGCGACGACTCATACTTGGTGCAGCGGTTTGCAGCCTGCTCCCTGCCCTCCCCGTCTCCGGGCCCCTCCCACTAACCCCTGGCCACACTCCTCGCTGGTCCCTGACCACCCCTCCCTGGCTTTTCATGTCCGCGCCCCTGGGCTCATGGTGACTTACCTAAAGGGCACCTCCTCTTCCGGGATGAGCTAGATTCCGGGCAGGGAGGGGACAGCGTGATGCTGAGGCAGGCGTCTGGGCGGTGAAGCCAGAGCTGGCTGCAGCATCACAGGCCCTGGGAAAGTGTTGGAAACGCAGGCTCACCCGGCCCCGCCAAACTGCAGTGAGATCCCCGGGAGGCCTGCAGACACCTGCAGGAAGAGCCGGAGAGCCTCTGGCTTAGAGAGTTGGCATCCAGCCTCCACACTTGTGTGAGCCGGCTCAGGCTGCCATGAAAAGCACCGCAGACGGGGAGGCTTAAACGGCAGAGAGTCACCTTCTCCAGTCCTGGAGGCTGGACGTCCGCGATCAAGTGCCACAGGGCTGGTTTCTCCTGAGGTCTCTCCTCGACCGGCAGACGCTGCCTTCCTGCTGAGTCCTCGCGTGGTCATCCCCTGTGCACACACGCCCCAGTGTCTCCCCGTGGGTCTGCATTTCCTCCTCTAGAAGAGGTGAACTGTCACTGTATGTGGATGATGTGGTACTGCATGCAGAAGACCCTACAGGCCCCACACGAATCTACTGGAGCTGACGGAAGAATTCAGCAAGGCAGCAGGACACAAGAGTGACACAGACGTCGGGGCGTTGCTCTACACGGACAATGAAATATCAGAAAAGGAAGTAAAGAAACAATCTCTTCTAAAATCACATCCAAAAAAATGAAACACTTAGGAATAAATCTGACCAAGGAAGTGAAAGACATATACGTGGAGAACCGTAAACATTGATTAAAAAATTAAAGATGACAAAGAAGTGGAAATACACCCCACGCTTCTGGATGGGAAGAATTAATATTGGTAAAGTGGCCACACTGCCCAAACCCCCTGCAGACTTAATGTGACCCTGTCAGACCACCCAGGATGCGCCTCATAGGGCTCAAACCAGGACCCCTAAAACGTATAAGGAATCGCAAAGGCCCGGAACTGCCAAAGCCATCCTGAGGAAAAAGAACAAAGCTGGAGGCATAACCCTCCCAGACTTCAGACAACGCGACAGAGCTACAGTCGTCAAAACAGCACGGTACTGGCACAGAAACAGACATACGGATCGATGGAACAGAACAGAGAGCCCACACGCTTACGGCCAGAGGAGGCAGGAACACGCACGGAGAAAAGACAGTCTCTTCAGCAAGCGGTGTTGGGAAGACTGGACATAGCCTGTAAGTCAGTGAAGCTAGAACACTCCCTCACACCATACAAGGAAATAAACTCAAAATGGGTTAAAGACTTAAATATAAGACCAGATGCCATAAACCTCCTAGAAGAGAACACAGGCAAAACATTATCTGACATACATCTCCGAAATGTTCTCCTAGGGCAGTCTACCCAAGCAATAGAAATAAAAGCAAGAATAAACAGATGGGACCTAATTAAACTTGTAAGCAACCTACAGAATGGGAGAAAATATTTGCAAATGATGTGACTGACAAAGGCTTAATTTCCAGAATATATAAACAGCTCGTACAATTTAATAACAACAAAAAAATGCAATACAAAAATGGCAGAAGACCTAAACAAACAATTCTCCATTGAAGACATGCAAATGGCCAATAGGCATATGAAAAAATGCTCAATTTCCCCAATTATCAGAGAAATGCAAATCAAAACTACGATGAGGTATCACCTCACACCAGTCAGAACTGGCCATCATTCAAAAGTCCACAAACACTAAATGCTGGAGAGGGTGTGGAGAAAAGGGAACCCTCCTACACTGTTGGTGGGAATGCAGTTTGGTGCAGCCACTGTGGAAAACAGTATGGAGATTCCTCAAAAAACTAGGAATAGGCTTACCATGTGATCCAGCAGTCCCACTCCTGGGCATATATCTGGAGGGAACTCTAATGTGAAAAGACACCTGCACCCCAGTGTTCATAGCAGCACTATTTACAGTAGCCAAGACACGAAAGCAAAGTAAATGTCCATCAACAGATGACTGGATAAAGAAGTTGTGGTATATTTATATGATGGAATACTACTCAGCCATAAAAAAGAATACAGTAATGCCATTTTCAGCAACATAGATGGACCTGGAGATTGTCATTCTAAGTGAAGTAAGCCAGGAAGAAAAGAAAAATACCATATGATATCACTCATATGTGGAATCTAAAAAAAAGGAAGAGAAGAAAAGACACAAGTGAACTTATCTACAAAACAGAAACAGACTCACAGACAGAAGACAAACTGATGGTTACCAGGGTGAAAGGGGGTGGGAAGGGATAAATTGGGAGTTCGAGATTTGCAGATACTAACTACTGTATATAAAATAGATAAACGACAAGGTCCTACTGTACAGCACAGGGAACTATATTCAGTATCTTGTAGTCACCTATAATGAAAAAGAATATGAAAACGAATATATGTATGTATCTGTATGCTGTACACTAGAAATTGACAGAACATTGTAAACTGACTCTACTTCGATAAAAAATAAAATAAACATGAAACTGCTCAAAAAATAGCTAGATAAATAAATTAATAAATTTCCTGTTCTGATGAGGGACTCGAGTTGCATTGGATGATGGGCTCGCTTTAACTGATCACCTCTTGGAAGGCCCTGTCTCCGAGCACGGCTACAGAGGTGCTGGCGTCAGGGTTTCAGCGTGGCTTTGTGGGAGCTGCAGTTTGGGCCACGGCAGCACTTTAAAGGGGAAGTCCCTGAGGCCCAGGAAGCCTGTGATGGTCCTCAGTCCCCACAGGCGGAGAGATGGGCGCTTCCTCTCCGATGAGCCCGCGGGGCGGCCGCCAGGGACAGTGCGAGAGGCTGGGATGTGGAACTGATGCTTCAGCTTCGCCCCCACTACTTCTGGGATCTTGGGTGAACGCCTTAACCTTTCCTTTCCTGAGAAATGGGGACAATAAAAGGCTGTCCCTCCTGAGGCCATGAGGGCTCCATGAGATCCAGACGGGAAATGCAGACGAGGACACGGGGCCTCGCTCAGCCTCTCGGCTTAGCCGGCTGTCACCGTGCGCTGCTCCTACTTAGCGCTGAGCCAGAATGCCCGCTGCTCTTCCCCAGGTGCAGCTGAACAGCTGGCAGAACCAAGGGCTTAACAAGTCGTGGTGGAATTTCGGGCGTCCGCTGGCAGGGCACAGGGCCTTTCCTGGAAGCCACCCCTGGCGGGCAGGGAAAGGAGACCCGCGGACGGCCTTCCACCCGCTGCCTGGGGGGTCTCACTCCTACGTGGCAGGCTGCGCACGGCTTGATTTCATTTCGCTCTGAGTTGCCTGGCCTGCGACTACAGGGAGGAAGGGGGGGGTCACGTCGCCCCTGCTGTGTGGCTGAGCCGTCGCCCGCCCGCTGGGGCTGCTTGGGAACGAGGCTGGCTACGGAGGGTTAAGGCAGCCACTGCCATCTGCCCTTTCGGCGCGAATGCAAAACTGTTTTCACAGGTTTTGTCTGTTGTTCAGATTTAAGTCGTCTGTGTCTGTGCCGTCTCCTCCGTGCAGAGCGCTCGCTGAGGCTGGAGCCGCACGGTGCAGGGATGATTGCCCGCCCGGCGCTTGCCGCAGGGCTCAGACCCGGGGTGCGGGCTGGTGAGCGAGGGTCAGGTGGGGGCGGCAGAGCCGGGGGGACGTCGCTGCTCCGGGACAGAGGGGTCCCTTTCTTTTATCCATCTTGTATCTATCTGTCCTTTCTGGGGAGGGGCTGCTTTAAACCCTGCCCCCCATGGTGTGGCTGATGGACCTCCCCGTCCACGTCTGGGGTCAGGACAGCAGGTCAGAGGGACCCAACCCTGGCTTTGGTGGCAAGGCATCCTCCCAGCTCTGGGGCCAGATTCTTAAATGTGGCCCAGTGGTCTAGTTTGTGTTCCCCTCTGGTTTTTGGCTAGGGCAGCGTCCTCTCCTGCCTCCCAGAACGCAGGGTCTGCAGAGAGAAGCACGGTAGACACCCCGAGTCACGTGGACGAGATGAGGTGCCCCCCCTCTGGGTCCCGGCGATCCACGGTCCAGCTGTGGCCGCACTGTCTGTCCTGCAGCCCTGCCCTGCTCGCTTCCTCCCTGTCCGCCCCAATGCCCAGGGTTCCCAGGCCCCTTGTCACAGGAGTTCCTGCTACATAGGCTCTGCTGAGCGTATTCATGTGAAGGAGTGAGCAATTAATAACGATCGCTCCTTTCTGAAGTTTTTGCAGCTTAAAAAAAAAGAAACTTTTTTAAAGGAAGAAAGAAAGAAACATGAGAGGTAGAAAGACAGACCCGCAGTTTCTGCTGGAGGGCCTTCCACGCACGCCTGCCAAGAACACGCCACCCTCCTTGCAGGGTCAGAGGCTGAAAGCCAGCGGCCCATTTGCCCCCCATGTCAGCAGCCCTGATGCGGGGCCACTGCAAGCCAGGATTCCTGCCTGTCCGCTGTCAACCGGGCACGTCAGCAGAATTGAACGGTGAATCAAAAACTGGAACAAGTCGCTTCAGTGAGCTAGGTCCCAAGCCTAATTCCAACAGTGTTTCTTCACTGGACCGTGAGCCACCTTCGCCTCCCTCCCCTCCCCTCGTTGACCAGTTTCACCCAGAACTGAACCAAGAAGGGCACATACTCACATCTGGCGCGCGAACCCCTCCCATTTCGCAGGTGAGGACGCTGAGGCCCTGGGGGTCATGGCCCAGCACTCGGTCCCAGGGCCCCTCTGTGGCCCAGACTGACTCTCCGCTCTGAGGTCCCCTTGCTGTCCCCACTGTTCCGTGAGCCCCTTGACTCGGGCCTCAGGGCGTGGCGTCAGGGGTGCCAGGTATGGTGTGTTTTTCGGATTGAGAGCCTCTCTTACCGTGAATTGGTAACCCAAATGGGGGTTCTCCCAGCCCCCACTCCTCCCACAGCCCTAGAAAATCAGAACCTTTAAGATGCCTGTGACTCGAGGGGGAAGGGCTTAGCGCAGGGGTAGAGTGTGGGTTCAGGCCCCAGTACCTCCATTCAAATAAATAAATAGACAGTTAAGGACCCTAATCCTCCCCCCAAAGGAAGTAAATAAAATGTACGGTGGCTCGGTCCACGTCACGATCACTAACCTTTTCATTATTGTTACTTGCTCTATTGGTCTGCTCCCTTCTGTCTCCCTTTCAGAGGCTATAGTGACGCCCACCTGCACCCTGGTCCTTACCTGGGGGGACGCCCCCCGGACACCGGCAGCTTCAGGAGACGTTGCTGGTTGTGGTAACTTGGTGGGGGGGGCACAGAGTGTGCTGCTGGCACCTGCTGGGCAGAGACCACAGACGCGGCCGCACGCTGCCCAGGCCAGCCCCCCGCGGCAGAGCTGTCCGGCCCCAGCCTCCAGTGGTGGTGAGACTGAGAAACCCCGATCCAGTCCGCACAAAGGGGCGGAAGAACCTCCTGCAGGTCCTGCCACCTCCGCAGATGAGGCTCTTCACCTCCCACGCCCCTCCCGGCCTCCCCCAGTGTGTCGGAAGTGTCTCTAGTCCTAACGTTCACGGCAGGAAAGCGCCGCGCCTTCTGCTTTTACCCTGAGCTTTTGTCTTCCCTGCCTCGTCGCCGCAGTTACCATTTCTCAAGGGTGCAGTGCAGTCCTCCGAGCAGGCTGACACCCCGTGCTTTCCCTGCTCCGTCCGAGCTTCTCTCCGAGGGTGGTGACTGGGAGCCTCGCTGAGCGGGCTGCGTGGGGCGGGGGGG